CATGGAGGTTAAGCTCCCTGAGGACAAAGTCCTGGCCTGATTCCTCTGTGACCTTCACTCCCTCAAGGGTCTGGGCCATCTTAAGCTTTTTCATTTTAATGAATGTTATCTTGTATAATCCCTTATTATCTGTGACTTAGTGTTTCCTCCCCCCCCCCAAACTCTTGAGGAAATGCATTTTCCTGGCATCTTTTCTGGTCCTTTCTATCACTGTGTATTGCCTTAAACCCTATTGACTTCTGTATGGTCCTAGAATCTACTTGCCTTTTCCCCTGCCCTTAAGGTGACCAGGACTTCCAATCGCCAAGGATTAACTTCTAGTTAACTAAGGCTGGGGTGGAGAAGACAGGGCCTGGGAAGGGAAGGGAAGGTGGGAGTGAGTGTGGGGGATGGAGGAGACACAAGCAGGGAGATAAGAGTTGAAGCTAGAAATCACACCTGACCAAGTTCATCTGCAAACACCAGAGTGGCCAATGACCAGCAAGAGCAGCCCTCAGGCCCAGAGCAAAGCTCCTCCTTTGGGCCAGCCAAGCAAGAGAGCCCCTCATCAGCCTCCCTGAGAGAGGCCTTTGGGCAGGACCTGGGGCTGCTGGATCTGCTCAAGAGGCAGACTTTGTTGGTTTAGTTACGCTACAAGGCTTCTGTTCCTGCCCTGGCTGTTACAGCCTACAGATTGCTGGTACCCATCTGATTGAACAACTTAATTAAAATGCAATAAAAGGAAAGTGGACCGGATGTGCCTCGGGACAGGAGGCAGGAGTCTTGGTCCACCGTCTGCCCCTGAACCCTGTGCCCCTTGCCATCCTGCCTCAAGCCCCTGGGCAGGTAGTGGCCATGGAACTCTTGTAGTGTTGGGTACAGAAGACCCTTAAGGTGATCTGTTCTGTGAGCTCATTCATACTGACAGTAGGGAAATTCTGTTCCAGAGAGGAGAACTGAACTCCTCACAGCCACTCAGCGGGGCTTGAGCAGAAGCACCATACATTTCCAGGACTTCAGGCTTCTCTCATTACACAAGGTGGAAGAAAAAATGATTTAAAAACACTATGACTCCTGTTCTTGGGGCTCCTTCTTGGGAACCCAAAGTTGTTTGTCCTCCTCCCCTGCTTTTGGGGGGAAACAGCTTTATGGAAATGTAATTCACATATCATACAACTCATTTAAGGATTTATTTTTCGTGTATTCAGAGTTATGCAGTCATCATCACAATGTTAGAATATTTTCATTACTCTCAAAAGAAATGCGTTACCATAGTCATGTCTCCCAATTTCCTCATTCCTCCCATTTTCCCCTCCCCCCACAAATTCCCCATTAGCCACCTCTAATCTACTCTGCCCCTATATAGTTGCCTATTCTGGATATTACATTAAGGGGAATTATACTATAAACATCCTTTCATGACAGAATTGATTTAGCATAAGGTTTTTGAGATGGATCCATATTGCAGCATGTATCCTTTTTTACCACTAAGTAATGTTCCACCATATGATTATAATTATGCCATATTTTGTAGATCTACTCAGTTGAGGGACATTTGGGTTGTTTCTTTCTCTTAGCTACTTTGAATCATGTCACTATCAACACTTGCTTATGTTTTTGTCTGGACATATGCTTTCAATTCTCTTGCGCATCGCAGACCTCTCCTGCCGCCCGCTGCTACCCTCAGCAGTGTACTTCAGTCCTTCTGCCTGCTCTGCTCCCCGCTCTGGCTCTGGTGAATTCTCTCACCCTCCCGCGCTTCTGACTGTACCCTGTGCATGTATAAAACAAAACAAACAAACAAACAAATAAATAAATAAAACATGCCTCTATTAAAAAAAAAAAAAGTCTTATTATCAATTCTCTTGCGCATCTACCTACAACTGAAAAATCCTGTTCTTGCATCTCATTAATGACATCAGTAACAATAGTGGAGATCCTAAAACATTGTTGCATACATTGACTCAGAAAAAAAGTGAAGACAGGAAGCTGGATGGAGAAAGAGAGGCACAAAGAGGTTAATAATTTTGAACCTGGTGACACAGCCATAGGATAGTGCCATGGAGGAGGAAGCCATAGAGGGCACTCTTAACTATGAACTAATGAAAGGTTCATGATTTGGGAACAACTACCCTGGAACATTTTTTAAAATACCCACCCATACTCACATGCCCCAAGAGTTTGTGTGCCTCAATCTTTAACTTGACTGGGTCCTGTTCTGCGACCATCCCAGCCTGGGTAGGTCCATTGTTGGTTCAGGCAGCTTAAAAGACAACCTAGGAGCCTTTGGCATCATCCCCACAGGTTATAGTAATAGCATGCAGAAGAAAACAAGCCAGCAGGGAAATAGCAACTTGGGCCCCTTGAAAAGCTCTAGAAGCTCTTTCCCCTGGGCTTCCTCTCACAGCTGTAGCTCGTAGCTCATCCTCTAGTAGCCATTCTCCACCGCTCTCAGGCCCACTCCATGGCACCGTCCTCTGCTGCACACAGTCCTCTGTGTGACACTGCCCTTGTAGCCTCAGCCGCCAGGCTCAGGAATTCACACTTACTTACGCATGCCCACGCCAGGCATCCAACCACATGCTGATCATAGATGCTAGCAGTGAGAGGGCAGAAAAACACTGATCATTTCCATTTACCCTACAGGACCTTCTTATCCCTTACCTGCCTATGTCTTCTAGTTTCCCACGAACACCATCTCACAACCTCTCAATGGAATTAAATATGCCTTCCACGTCCCAACTCTTTCCCCTCATTCTTAGCAGGGGAGAGGTGGCTTTGTAGGGAGTTCTGGAGCCGTGGAGTGGAGGCTCTTTAAAGGACTGCTCTTTTCATCACAGCTGCAGTTCTCAGAGCCCTATTTAGGGGACGCAGAGGTCAGACTGTTGTGTCACATCACCAGGGCACTCCAGCCTGCTCTGCCTCTATCACTAGGCATGTGCAGGGTGAAAAAGACCGAGCTGGCCCTTGTTGGCTAAAATATATGAATGGTCAACTATTTCTGATCTACATAAAGGGAACCTCATGTGGTTCAGCCTTCAAGTCTCTGGTGTTCCCCCTCCTTTTTGTCTGTGTGCTAACCAACGGCTCCGATCATGGGCTCTGGAAGCCTTTCTGCCTGTCCAGCCCAACTGGTCTTCCTGGGACAAGTTTCTAGAGTGGCCATTCTCCAGTGGCTCAATCTGGTGCCTGAAAGCATGAGGGGGACTAGAGCAAGAACACTGAATGGGAGGCAAGAGACCTCTCCACTCACTGCCCCTCTCCCCACTTGCCCCTCAACCCAGGTCTCTAAAGCACAACTGTCCGGTCACCCTCTATTTCAACTCTTGCAATGACTCCCCAGCACCTAGTACATCTAAAGCACAGGCTCCCAGGCTGGCAGGGGAGGAGGTGGACAGCTTCAGTTTCCACTGCTGGCTTTCTGCTCCAGCCATGCATAACTGCTGGCAGTCCCTGTGCACACCTGCACGCCCCCCTCTACTCCTTGGCGCCTGCTCTTCCTCCACATGGAAGTCTTTGTGCAGTTCCTTCCCTCAGCTACCTGTGACTCCTATAAGACTGCTCCTGAATCTTCTGTGTTACGGGTCCTTCCCCTCTGTTCCCAGTTTTTTCCTCTCCTAGCACTCACTTCCATATTTCAACCAATTCTTTGCAAGCTTCCCTGTCTTCATTTCTCATCTGTGGGTTTCTGATAATTTTGTTAGTTTATTTTGTCTCAATTCAAGGAGGATTTGCCATGCTCCGACTAAGCACACACCCGTGCAGGGAACAGTGGCAACATCCAGAGTTGTAAATAGCGGCTTCCCTGGATTTCCCAGGAGAGCTGCCTTCCCAGGCAGTCAGGGAGCGCCGGCCCACTCCGGTCTCTCGCCCCTCAGCTCTGCGCTCCCACCAGCAGCTGAGCATCAGATGCACTGGGCAAGCGAGGCTAGTCCGGGTCCCCAGATCTGCCATGGCTCGCGCATCTCCAGACCACCTCGGGGCGCCGGGGCTGGTGGCGGGGCCGCGCCCCGGGCGCCCTCTGGCGGCTGCGCGCGGAGGCCGCGGCCGGGCGGGGAGCTGGCTCGGGGCAGGGGAGGGCCGCGGGAGGAGGAGGCGCGGGCAGGGGAGGAGAGGAAAAAGTTGCGCTGGGAAGTTTGGAAAGTTGGGAAGTGGCTGCTGCGGGCTTCGCCTCCCTCCGCGCGTGTGTGAGGGAGCGAGCGAGGGAGCGAGCGGGGAGCGAGCGAGCGCCTGCCATGCCCATCAGACCCCGCCTCGCCGCGCCCGGGCGCGGAGCTCGCCCCGACTCCCTGCGGCCCGGCCCGGCCCGGCGCGGCCCGGCGCGGCCCCGGCCCCCCGCCCCCCGCGCCGGGTCCTCCCCTCCCCCCGCCCCGGCGGCCCCAGCCCCCCGCCCGGCCCGGCTCCGCGCCGCTCTCCCGCCCTCCTCTCTCCCTCCCTCCCGGCCGCGGAGCAGCATGGCGGAGCCCGGGCAGCGGCCGCGCGGCCGCCCGCCGCCCCTCTGAGCCCGGCTCGGGGGCAGCCGGGCGCCCCAGACCCGACCCCCGCGCCCGCAGCGCCCGCCGCCGCACTTGTCCCACTGCGCGCCCCCTGGAGCGCTGCGCACCCCTGGGACTCTGTGCGCCCCGGGTCCCCAACATAACCCCAGGACCCTCGCGCGCTCGGGAGCCCGGGACTGCCCCGGGCACCTCGCGCGCCCCTGGACCCCGACGCAGCTCGGGACCTCCCCGCGCCTCGGGGCGCCCGAGCGCGCTCTCACTGCCCCCAGACTCAGCCAGCCGGGCTGCGCACCCTGGGGAGGGGGCCCCGCCCCAGAGGGTCCCCCTCTCCCAACAGACGGAGCCCCGCCCCAGAGGGACCCCCGAGTCCGGCAGGGACATCCAGCCACGCCCCAGAGGGCTCCCAGCATCCCGTAGCTGGAGCCCCGCGCTCCAGAGGAACCTCGGTGCCCAGCTGGGGACTCTCCGCCCCGCTGAGGGGGCGCCGCCCAGGAGGGTCCCCCGCGCCCCGCGGGCCCCGGCAGGATGCACGCCGCCCTGGCGGGGCCGCTGCTCGCCGCCCTCCTCACCACCGCCCGCGCCCGCCCGCAGCCCCCGCACGGAGGACAGTGCCGGCCGCCCGGATCGGTGAGCGAGCGCCTGCCTGGCCACTCTCTGGCCGCCGGGGCCGTCCAGCCCCGCGGGACGAAGACTCGGGTCCTGCCTTCCGCAGCCACCTTCGCCCACCCGTTCCACCTTCGCCCGCCTGGCGCTGCCGCGGGCACCCGTCCCTGCTTCTGCCCGGGCTGCAGCTCCGTGCCGGGAGCGGAGATGGGGGCTCCCTCGCCGGCTCCCAGGCTGTCGCTCTGAGGCTCTCCTCGACATTCCGCCCCGCCGGACGCTTCCTCTCCGTGCGCCTTTTGACCCGCTTCTTCCTCGCTTTTACCCTGTCTTTGCGCTCTGGACTCTCCCTGGACACATTTAACTGTTTCCACCACTCCTTGCCCTCCGCTCCCCTGACTTCCACCTAGTCCTTCCTCTCTCATTCTCACACTCGGCACCCCTGGCAGAGGCTTTCCTCTTTCCCCTGCTCCCCATCTCTGACCTAAGGCAGGCTTTTCCTGGAGGGGCCCCCCCCTTTACTCCCCCCCACCCCCCGCAGCACCCACTCTCCCAAGTTGCCCCATGTCACAAAAAGAAGGAAGATTCCAGAGCAGAGGAGAAGGAAGGCCAGGGTATGCTGGCCTAGCATTTCCTTGAGGGTTGAGTAATTACCAGTTCTCCTAATTTTCCTTCCAGACCAAGGAAACCCTTGACTTCCCTCAGTATCCCTCCCCCAATGCATGGGAAATCACTCTAATTGGAGCCCAGAGGACTGGGGATGGCTTGGAGGGTCCTTACCCTGCGACCTGCAGGCTGGGAGTTAGTTGACCTTGGGCAAGGTGCTTCCTGACTTGTGCCCACAGTGAGCTGGGTGGCTGGCTGGGCGCGCAGACCTAGTCTATCTCCAGTGGGCTGGGATTTTCAGTTTTTGGTTGTTAGTAAATTGATGTCCTGCTGCTTCACCCCAAGACATACTTTTCATTCGTGCTATTTAATAGAATCAGGCAGGAAAGCGTTGTGAGTTGACCTCAAGCTTGCAGGTGGTAAGTGGGCAGGTCAAGGTTTTTTTATGGATGGAAAATGGCCTTGCCTGAGAGACATGGTGGTTCCTTTCTCATGCCCTTTAACCCTTAAACTGGATCTGGGGAAATGACTGCTGTCTTCATGCCCCTCCTTCACGCACACACACACACTCACAGCTGAGGTCAGAGAAGATGGATTGGGGTAGGAGACCAGGTACATCTCTTTTAGGGAGGAGTCTAGAAAGCACTCGGAATATGTACATTTCTTGGGGCTAATTCTATGGAATCTTCCCCTCCTAAACTGGGGCCTTAAGACTTCACTTAGCCTGCAGGTTTCAAAGCATTTTCTCATCTGTGGTTTCAGCTGGTGAGGCAGAGTAGCTGACACCCCAGACCTGCCCTCCAAAAAAGAAAACTGTATCCACCCTGATGAATGGGAAGTAGCTGTTTAAATAGGTGTGCTATTTTTAATAGGTGTTCTGCTTTCAAAGTGCTCTTGGCGTGTATCTTCTAATGGTTGGATTTAAAAGTTATATGACTTCCTCCCTTCTTGCCAGAGCAGGACTCTTGATCCCCCCCTCTCCCCACCCTCCACGTGAAACCCCACCGGTAAAGGTTTGGCTTGGCCAAGCATGAATATTCTCAGGTGGCCTGGCAGTTCTTGGCATTCATGGCCAAAGCCAGTCACATTGCCTTCATTGCCTTCTTCCTTCCTGCCTGCCTGCCTGCCTTCATTGCTCCTTCCTCTGTGCCTGGCATGCCTCGAAGGGCTTCTGTATGTGTATTGTGCTTCCAAGCCCTCCCGACAACTTCTCATCCCCTCATGTTACTGATAGGGAAACTGAGTCCGTGGGCGCTCAAGGTCATACCCTGAAGGCAGACGAAGCCAGGATCTGCATGTGGGTCTTCCGGATTCTGAAATCCTTGCTCTTTACCATGGTGCCACGTCGGCCCTTATGTCCCCACATCAGTCCTGTGCTACCACCCTTAACCTTGGCTCACTCAGCTGCTGTCAGCCTCAAACTCTCCTTCTTCTCCTCCTGCAGCAGAGGGACCTGAACTCCTTCCTGTGGACTATCCGGCGTGACCCACCAGCCTACCTGTTTGGCACCATCCATGTCCCCTACACCCGCGTCTGGAACTTCATCCCAGACAATTCCAAGGCGGCCTTCCAGGCCAGCGCCCGTGTCTACTTCGAGCTGGACCTGACGGACCCCTACACCATCTCGGCCCTGGCCAGCTGCCAGCTGCTGCCGCATGGGGAGAACCTGCAGGACGTGCTGCCCCGCGAGCTCTACTGGCGCCTGAAGCGCCATCTGGACTATGTGAAGCTGATGATGCCTTCGTGGATGACACCTGCGCAGCGGGGCAAGGGGCTGTACGCCGACTACCTCTTCAATGCCATCGCCGGCAACTGGGAGCGCAAGCGGCCCGTGTGGGTGATGCTCATGGTGAACTCGCTCACGGAGACCGACGTGCGCTCCCGAGGAGTGCCCGTGCTGGACCTCTACCTGGCCCAGCAGGCCGAGAAGATGAAGAAGAGCACTGGAGCTGTGGAGCGGGTGGAGGAGCAGTGCCACCCACTCAATGGGCTCAACTTCTCTCAGGTAGGCAGGCCGCCCCCCCCCCCCAGGCGCCTTTATCTCCACGGATGGTCTTTCTCCTTGGGCAGCCAAAGCCCTGCCCCCATAGGGAGAGAGGCTTTGGGGGCCATGGGGCAGGCCTCCTGCTGCTTTTGTGGTGGTATGAGGGTGAGTGGTATGAGCTGGAATTGGGGCTTGGGTGTTTTTCTCAGTCTCTGTGGTGTTACCTGTTGGGGATATACACCCCCACCTGCTGTGCTTGCCTGAGCAGAAGGAATTCCCTGGGAGCATCAGCCTAATGACAAACAAGAAGAGGGAGGTGCAAGTTTGCTTCTGGCTTTCTGAGGCCCTGGTCTCAAGGGCTGGAGGCTGTTGGGAGGCTGCTGTGTGGGCACCTCCTGGCGGCAGCACATCTGGGGAGAGGAATCAGCGGGTGCACGGTCCGTGGGGCTGGGCACACAGTTAATGTAGTGGACCCGGTATCTGAGTAGCACTGGTTTGCGGTTGCCCCATTTCCAGGCCTTTGCAAAACTCCAGGCAACCCTTGGACTGCCTGCCTAGACTGGGAGACAGTCAGCAAGGGTAGTTTTGGGGTTAACAATTTCAGAGAAGTCTGTTTCCTTAAAAGTTGACAGTTCTGATTTCTGAACCTCAGGAGTGGGAGCAGGGAGAAAGGGCTGGAGGGGCGCTTAGGAGGTTTAAAGTCTCCGATTGCCAGAGACTTGATCCAGCAAACTGTCATTAAAAAGCTCTGTCTCCGTGGGCAGAGGTCACTAGCAACTCACTGGCCCCAAACTCAACTCTGAGGCCCTGGGAACAATGAGTTCACATCTGTGCCTTGAGACCGGCTGTCAATCCCAGGATGGGGACTCTGAGCCAGGCTGGTGGCTCCTGCAAGGAGGCCCCAAGCAGGGCTTGGGCTGGTGCCCTGAGTGAGGCGTGGTCCCTGAGCCCTGCTCTTCCTTTAAGGAGACAACCCCATAAATTGGCCGGGCTGGAAAGTCTACCACTGGGACCAGACCTGTTTGCTGCTCCGGGGATGTTGCAAGCTCTTCACCAGGGAAACCACGGCAGAAACTGATCCCCCTTCAGAGATCTCTGGCTTTTGTTTTTCCAGGGGAAATGCAATATTGTCCCCAGGGAGGTAAGAAGCCAGATTGATTGGCCGGCCAAATGAAAGGCTGGTTTGTCGGTTCTCCTGCTGGCTCTCCCATAATTGTGGCGTCCTTACCCAGAGGGCCCCGGTGGCAGGAATATTGGGGCAGTTAGTCACGCCCCGCGGGGTTCTGACGACGCCTGACTCCTTCTCCACGGGGGAAAATCCTGTGCATTCTCTGGCTCTGGCTGATTCCTCTGAACATACCGGCTCTCTCCCTCTGAAGTGACTTTTCCCTGGCCGGCCTCGGTGCTGATATTATCTGTGTGGGGCTCCCCGGTGCTCACCGCCCAACTCATTTTGGAGGCAGATTTGTGGGAGGGCCCTCTGTTCGGGGCCTCGATATCTTTTTTAAGTTAGGGAAGTGGGTTCCACCATCACTCTCAACACCCTCTTTGTACCAACCACAGAAGAATCGGACGGGGCCCGAAGGGAGCACACCGACCCTCCGGTTACACAGCCCCTGGCTTTAGTCTGTCTCTCTTAAAACAACAAAACTATCTTTCTTCGGGGTCTGGAAACACTGCTGTTCAACTGAGTGATGGTTTTGGTGGGTTGAAAACATTTGCTGGGAAGTGTATGAGGTTATGTTTTAGGAAAAGTTTCTGAGAACCATTCATCGGCCAGCAAGGAGCCCGCTGACAGTCTCCAAAGCCCACATTTGAAGATCAAACAGACTCAAATCTCCAGTTTCAAAAATGTGCCCACCCCATCACCAGCCTGGGCTGCTCTTAAAATTGTTTTGGGGTGCATCTCCTTGAGAGGGCTATAGGAAGCAAGTCCAGAACAAGCGATACAGGACCTCATCTACACACCCTCACCACCTGCCAGAGCGGCCAACCCCACCAATTTGTCCCATTATCATTTTGGAGTCAGGCGGTGAAATCGCTCCTCCGGTCTCTTGGGCAGCCAGGGGCTAATTGGGAATGGTGGGCTACCAGCACCTGGACGGATGGGGTGGTTAGGGATCCCCAACCCCAAAGCCAGAAATGCAATAGCCTCAGTAAAACTGTATGCACGCGTGCACAGTTTGATATGAACATCTGTGATGCATTATTGTACCGAAATATCTGTTAAGTGCATCAGATTTTTATTTTTTCTTTCCTCTCAGCATTACTGTTATTGCAAAATATTTGGGGGGGGGTTGCAATGAGAGAGGAAGGCGGGAAAAAGAAGCCTTAAAAGAGTGTTTTTTTGTTCAGACCTGGGATTTTTGTTTTCATTTTCATATTACTCAAATTGTTGTATTTTCTTCTGGGCAGAAATACCACATTTTCCCTTGTTAAGTGGAGAAAGAAAGCTTACATTTTGGGATTCCATTGGCTGGAGGAGCCACTGAAAAAATTTCTTCTACCTTTGCAACAGCTTGGAAGGGCAAGTTTATTGGCCATGGTCTCTAATTTTAACATTAACTGAGGATGATAGACCCAGCATCACCCTGTTATGTGACCTGGGGCAGGTCAGTTGCCCTCTCTGGGCCTTGTTTTTCCCATCTGTGAAATGAGACCCTGGGATTAGGTCATCTTTCAAGCCCCTTCCAGCCCCGACATTCCTTGGGATGGGTATAATCAATTCCATGTGCTAGGCACCCTGCAGGAGACTCCCATGCTTTTCCATTTTGTTGGATTCTCACAACCTGTGGCTTTCTAAGGTGGGCACTCAGAAGGGTTGGAGGACTTGCCCAAGGTCATATGGCTAATGAGGAACAGAGTCGGTCTGCTTGACTCTAAATGAAAGATGCTTTTCCCCCTGCTCCACACTGACTTTCTATAGGGTAGGTATTTCATGTTCTTCTGTCAGTCTTCTTTCTTCCCTTGAGGACTTCAAATTTTACTTCTTAGAGAATTTATACTTAGACGTTTTTTCCTTTGGCTCTAGGGCTTGTATGGAATTGGAGAAGACATGTCCACTAAGATTTCCAGTGTGTTACAGGCAGCTCAGCATTGTGGGCTGAGAGATAAAAAGATTTACTTCTAGATTTCAGTCCCAGCTCTGACACTAAACCCAAGGACTTGTTTATAAACTTTGGTTTCCCCATCTCTCAGATGGGAGACTAGTGACCAGATTTATGAGACATGCAAGAACACTACCTTCAGGAGGCCTTGTGCTTGGAAAAGAATCTGGGTCACCAGCTCTAGGGCAGGGAAAGTAGAGGCTGCCTGGGAAGCATCAGGTCTGCCCTGTTGGCACCCTCCCTCAGCGGCCATGTCCACTGACCATCTGCTATTAAACAAAGTAGAGCTGGGGTAATAAGAGGATGGCAGCCCCTGCCTTTAGCGGCCTGGGATGCCTGAACCTTGGCTCCAGACCTGTGACAGTCTTGGGACCTGCAGATTTTAATCAGCACTGTGGGCTGCCTGCAGGGACAGGGACTGACCGCCACCAACTCACTGGGCTGGTTAGGAGACCTCCTTTCCCCTCTAGAGGTCCTCAGTCCTCCCCCACCTGCACAGTGAAGGAAGGTGCTGAAGGAGAAGACTGACTTTTGTGGTTCTCCGAGGCATTAAGAAAACGAGGGCCCTGCCATCCTGTGCTTGGCAGGGTTTAATAAGCATGCTGGAGTGGCCATTGCCCATCCAGAGTGCCCATCCAGGCTGGACACTTGGCCATGATGGCCAAGGCATTCAAACCGTTGTAAAGTTCTCCAGGCTCCTCGGTGGGAAGTCAGAGACCGCAGAATCCTCATTTATGACCTCTGTCTCTGTACAGGGTGCTACATTACACCTCAAAAGTGTATCCCATCGAGCCTTAGGGAGCTGTGACAAGTCATCTCGTATCTCTTTTACAGACAGTAAATTGAGGCTTCAAAAGAATAAGACCTTTGGCAGCGATTACATGACCAAGCCAAGTGGACTCAGGAGTCTACCTCTGTGTTTGTCAGGCACCTGTGAGATGAATTAATTTTTAATAGTCAGATTACATTATATGGTGACTTGTGTGTATGTGTGGGGGCAGGGAGGGAGATTAAGTTCTTACTAAAAAAAAAAAAAAATGTCTGGAGAGATCATTGGAAAGTGCTGAAACGGTTTCTCCCTGATTAGTAAATTGGATCTGGCTGTGATTCTAAAATAAGAGTTCCCAAAGCCATCCCGGGAACCAGCTGCCTCCTTGGAATGCTTCCCCAGCTTTCTGAGACTGTTGTGAAGAAGAGCATCCCCTAACCCATGCCAACCAGGCACTGTTGAATAAAGAAGGGCTGCCTTGATTTGTTGTCAGAGCTCCTTTAGCCACACCCTGAGGAGTCAGCAGCACACATCAGGCATTTTGGAGAATGCCTGCCTGAGTGAATGAATGAAGGATCGAAAACCATGACATGACCTGTCCTGCCTCCCAGCCATCCAGCACTATTGAATGAATGAATGAATGAATGAATGAATGAATGAATGAATGAATGAAGGGAACTGTGTAGGTCACAGCGAAGAGCCCCCTCCTTGAATTCTAATAGCTGCCACCTTCCTCCAGGGACACCACTAGCCCTGCCTCCCTCCTTCCTCCCTTGCCTGTGACTTTGGACTGGTCCTTTTCCCTTTCTGACTGAGGTTGCCGCTGTGTCCCTGAAAAGTGTTGGGCTAGATTTCCAGGGTCAGTCCAGGTCTGACTACTCTGGTGCTTATCTTCTGCCCCACATCTTGGAGGCCCTGGGCCATCCCACCCTGAGATTTTGAGCCTGAGTTATCAGCCATCGGGAGAGGCTGGCAGGCTTGTCTCTGGCAGGCTGCTGCTGCTACCTACTTGTCTGGCAGCCTGCTGGTTCCGGTGGGTGATCCTGCTGCCTCTTTCTCTGCCAGTCTACAGAGTGGAGAGAGAGCCCCAGCCTGTCGCAGCATGGTCCGCTGGACACCTGCCCAGGCTTGGATCCTCTCTTTCC